AGGCCACTGACAACCCTTATAGAAGTCCTCGCCCTTGACCACTTCATTTAAAAAATATATTTTAGCGTTGTCTGTGCCACTCTTGATGACATTTTTCTTATTTTCTGCTTCAGTGATCAGAAAGTGAGTGAGAATTTCCCTAATGTCTACAAAGAAGGCATAAAACCCCAACAATGGTTCCAACCTGCCTCCAAAAAACTGAACACTAAATAAATCAATTTTAAACATTGTGAGATTCTTGGTTTAGTAAATTAATTTCAGGTTGTTTATCTAAGGCCAAATTAGCTTTTATATTATTAAATGTTTTCCCTTTTAGCTCTCCATGTCCTCTGAAGATTGCTGATGTCAATTCCTTAGGACACTTTGTTCGGATACTGAACTCTTCTCCACACCAAGATGTTGATATAAGTGGCTACATCCTATGGCAGCTGGAAGGAGGACATGCTGTATCTATGTATCGCTTTCCACAGAACTTGATCCTTCCTGCTCACCAGCATGTTACGGTAAGGATAAGACCACAATTCACTCTGAGAGTTATTAGTGAAAACTAAAATTTGGTTTATTTGAATGATGTTCACTAGATAAATCCTGGTAAATTTGGTTTAAATGTTGAATGGAGGTACTTGGTCTTCTTCAAACTCATAGTTACATAGTTAGTCTGGCTGAAAAAAGACAAAAGTCCATCCATTTCAACCACAGAAAAAAAAAGAAGTTATAATCCTATGCCCACAGTTGATCCAGAGGAAGGCAAAAAAAACCAGCAAAGCACGATCCAATTTGCTCCTGCAGGGAAAAAATTTCTACCTGATCCCCAGAGAGGCAATTGGATATTCCCTGTATCAACTTTACCTATAAATGTGAGTATCCAGTTATATTCTATGTATCTAAGAAAGAGTCCCCAGGCCTTTTTTAAAGCAATCCACTAAGCTGGCCAGAACCAATCCTGGAGAGAGTCTATTCCACATTTTCACAGCTCTCACTGTGAAGAAACCTTTCCGTGTTTGGAGATTAAATTTCTTTTCCTCCAGACATAAAGAGTGCCCCTTGTCCTCTGTGTTGACCTCATTGTGAATAACTCTACACCGAGTTCATTATATGAACCACTGATGTATTTATACATGTTGATCATACCCCCCCCCCCCTTAATCTCCTCTTCTCAAGACAGAATAAATTCAGTTCCTCTAACCTTTCCTCATAGCTGATCTCCTCCATGCCTCTTATCAGTTTGGTTGCCCTTCTCCGTACTTTCTCCAGTTCCCCAATGTTCTTTTTTGTGAATTGGTGCCCAAAACTGAACTGCATATTCCAGATGAGGTGTTACTAATGCATGCAGGGGTGGACTGACCATTCGAGCACTTGGGCACTGCCCGAGGGCCCAGGGTCAGTAGGGGGCCCCATGAAATGCCCCTGGTACCTTTTTTATAGGCTTTTTTGGGTGTGGGCAAGGATACAGGGGCCCCTATTGCCCGGGGGCCCCATGAGTTGTCAGTCCGCCACTGGATGCATCTATATTCTTAGCCCCCAAGTGCATAACCTTACATTTATCAACATTAAACCTCATTTGCCACATAGTCACATAGTTGCCCAATTAAACACTGCATTGAGGTCTTGTAAGTTGGAGACATCCTGTAAAGACGTTATTCCACTGCACAGCTTGGTGTCATCTGCAAAGACTGAAATTGTATTTTTGTATTTTTAATCCCAGACCCTATATTGTTTATAAATATATTAAAATGCAACTATAACAGCTTCAACTCTTCTGGGAAGGCTGTCCAGCAGTGTATCTATGGGAAGGTTTGACCATTCTTCCAGAAGCGCATTTGTGAGGTCAGGCACTGATGTCGGACGAGAAGGCCTGGCTCTCAGTCTCCGCTCTAATTCATCCCAAAGGTGTTCTATTGGGTTGAGGTCAGGACTCTGCGCAGGCCAGTCAAGTTCCTCCTCCCTAAACTCCCTCATCCATGTCTTTATGGACCTTGCTTTGTGCACTGGTGCGCAGTCATAATGGAACAGGAAGGGGCCATTCCCAAACTTTTCCCACAAAGTTGCGAGCATGAAATTGTCCAAAATGTCTTGGTATGCTGATGCCTTAAGAGTTCACTTCACTGGAACTAAGGGGCCAAGCCCTACCCCTGAAAAACAACCCAACATCATAATCCATAATCCCCCTCCACCAAACTATACACTTAGCACAATGCAGTAAGGTAAGTACTGTTCTCCTGGCAACCTCCAAACCCAGACACGTCCATCGGATTGCCAGACAGAGAAGCTTGATACGTCACTCCAGAGAACATGTCTCCACTGCTCCTGTGGCAGCGTGCTTTACACCACTGCATCCAATGCTTTGCATTGTACTTGGTGATGTAAGGCTTGGATGAAGCTGCTTGGCCATGGAAACCCATTCCATGAAGCTCTCTATGCACTGTTGTTGTGCTAATCTGAAGGCCACGTGAGGTTTGGAGTTCTTTAGCTATTGACTCTACAGATAGTTGGCGACTTCTGCGCACTGTGCGCTTCAGCATGCGCTGACCCCGCTCTGTCATTTTACGTGGCCTACCACTTTGTGACTGAGTTGCTGTTGTTCCCAGTTGCTTCCACTTTGTTATAATACCACTAACAGTTGACCGTGGAATATTTAGTAGCAAGGAAATTTCACGTATGGACTTATTGCACAGGTGACAACCTATCACAGTACCACACTTGAATTCACTGAGCTCCTGGGAGCGACCCATTCTTTCACAAATGTTTGTAGAAGCAGTCTGCATGCCTAGGTGCTTGATGTTATACACCTGTGGCCATGGAGATGATTGGAACACCTGAATGAAATGATTTGGCGAGCTGGCCCAATACTTTTGGATATATAGTGTATATCTTTCAAAATATAAATACTTAGGATGACAACTCATTAGAACTTGGGGGTTGGCCATAATAAATCAAAAGCAGTACAGAACATTTTAAGGAGCCATGTTTTTGTGGTCTACATGCTCCATGTCTACAGATCTACAGGTACTTCTCATTTGGCTGCATTGCACAATGTTAATTAGGTTACAGTGCTACCCTCAATATTTTTTGCAGAACAGTTGGACAGCACACTTTCTGATAGCTAGTCAGTGGATCACTAATGGATTCAGTCATCGTCACAGTGGATTATTGTTGGGGGACAAAACAAAACAGTAAAACAAGCTACACACTTATTCATTATTCCATAGGGTTTTCTACAACAAAAAAAGATAATCTTTTAATTTATTTCAATTAAAGTAGTAGTAAACTCGTTTTTTTTTCACTTGTACCTACAGGTACACCTTTAATAAGGCGTACCTGTAGGTACTGTAAATATTTACTAAACTTTGCACTGTTTAGGAGCTATTTACTTGTAAAGTAGCACTGGCGCATGCTCTCTGAAGGAATACAAGGAGGGAAAAGTCTTCTTTTTTGGTGGGACTTTAATGGCACAATTTACTTGTAAAATAAATTTCAACAATTCTTTTGAATTGTTGAAATTTATCATACAAGTAAATTGAACCGTTAAAGTCCCACCAAAAAAAGAGGACTTTCCCCCCCCCCCTTGTATTCGTTAGGGATGTCTGCGTGAAACATAGTGCGGAGAAGGGCATAAACCCTAATCCACAATCTGCTAACCTTAGGGCAAGTCCACCAGATGTGAACCATAGTACCCAATTGTTGGCACCCCCGAAAACAAGCCGGAGAATATGTAGGAATAAAGTTAGCTAGACGAGCAGGTGTATAATACCATCGATAAAGAATTATCTGTTCTGATCTGGCTAGGCCAGGGGTGGGCAAACTTTTTGACTTGAGGGCCGCAATGGGTTCATATATTGGACCCGGGGGCCGGACCAAGAGTAGGTGAATGATGTGTATGTGTCATCCATAGTAAGTATAGTAATATTCCCCCATAGTAGTAAGCATAGTAATTAATCCCCCATATAGTAATTCATCCCCCATAGTAATTCATCCCCCATATAGTAATTCATCCCCCATATAGTAATTCATCCCCCATAGTAATTCATCCCCCATATAGTAATTCATCCCCCATAGTAATTCATCCCCCATAGTAATTCATCCCCCATAGTAATTCATCCCCCATATAGTAATTCATCCCCCATATAGTAATTCATCCCCCATAGTAATTAATCCCCCATATAGTAATTCATCCCCCATAGTAATTCATCCCCCATATAGTAATTCATCCCCCATATAGTAATTCATCCCCCATAGTAATTCATCCCCCATAGTAATTCATCCCCCATATAGTAATTCGTCCCCCATATAGTAATTCATCCCCCATAGTAATTCATCCCCCATAGTAATTCATCCCCCATATAGTAATTCATCCCCCATAGTAATTAATCCCCCATAGTAATTCATCCCCCATATAGTAATTCATCCCCCCTATAGTAATTCATCCCCCAAATTAATTCATCCCCCATATTAAGTCCCCAAGTCCCCCCTGTGTCAATTCACTTACCTTTGCTCCGCGCGTTCCTCTCGCCGTGTTCCCGCGCCATTCCGGTGTAGCATGAAAATCTGTCTCCTATGAGGATCTGTCCCCCTCGACGTATCTGCGCATGTGCCAGTTTCAGGCATTAGCAGCCGATCGGCGATCTCCGGCACATGCGCAGATACATTGAGGGGGACAGATCCTCATAGGAGACAGATTTTCATGCTACACCGGTCTTCAGGGCGGACTTTGAGAGGAGCCTAGCTCCGCGGGCCGGATTAAAAGGTCCGCCGGGCCGTATACGGCCCGCGGGCCGTAGTTTGCCCATTGCTGGGCTAGGCTATCTAGCAAGGGAAATGAATCTTTGGAGTCACTAACCAGAATTAGCATGCAAAAACAGATTATATTTATTTCAACTAAGTATTTAGCTATTTGTCTATTATTTTGCCCTTTATAACCCTTTGCTGTATTTTAGGTTTGGGCATCTGCAGCAAAGGTTTCTCATAAACCACCTACAGATCTATTATGGAAAGGATGTGTCTACTTCAGAAGCAACCCACAATGCATCACTGTCCTGTCACGCCCAAATGGTCAGGTATGATGAAAAGATTGTTTCAGGAAACTGACATTTATTATTATATTTTTATTAAAAGTGCTGAGGTCATATAGATTAATTCAATTCATACATACACAAAAAAACCTACAAAGCAGGTGTGTCTTCAGGGGTGGCATCAGTATAGTACCCCCTCTTCCTTACACCAACGGGTAGTGTGATGCCCTTCTTACTGTGCAGCAGAGGTCAGTGAAATGCTACCTTACACTGGTGATCAGTGGTGAAGGGTCTCCTTGGGCTCCATGTACATAGGAGGACACTTCTGAACAATGGAAACTGACTGCTGGAAACCGTAGGTTAAAAAAGTCTGTTTAGCTGCGTTTGCATACCGCGTTTATGTGCGTTTGCGTTTAGAAGAGTTTTTTAAAGATAACCTCAGGAGACCTTTCAAAATGCCCAGAATGCACTGAAAACAGTAAAAATGAACTATTTCAGACATTTTGAGAGAAATAGAGAGAGCAGAAGCAGAGAGAGCAGTATTTGTTGAGATTAGCTGTTTTTTGTTTTTTTTAATTTTTTTTCTGTGGTGTTTTGATGTGTTCTAGCTCATTTCTGTGCAGAAATTATTGCAGCATATTTTCTGTCATGTGAAACCTCAAAGTATGGAGTACCAGGACCATTTGAGTACCGGGAAAACGCTTTACATGCATTTTTGATGATGAAAAAAGGCTCTGGACAGCATCTGGAAATGGAAGAGTTAAAAAAAGTTTCCAACGCAAATGCTTATAAACGTGGTTAACCACGTTTCCAAGCATTTGGCATTTGATACGCTGATAAAATCTACTCCTGAAGTTTGGTGCGTTCAAAAAAAAACGACTGAAAACTCAACTGCCTGTAAACGACGACATAGTGTACATGGACACATAGGAAAACATTAGGGAGAGTTCAGGGGCTGCTGAAACAAATGCAGAAAAGCTCCTAAACGTGAGTTTATCAGCTGCAGTGTACATGGAGCCTTAGATTGGTGGTCCAGAGGAGAAGCATCCTCTTACGATGGTGATCAATAGGAAGAACATTGCTTACATTGGAGGTAAGTGGGGGAAAATAACCTGTTAAATATAGTTAAAAAGATCATTAATGTCATTGGTTACTTATAAGTCAGAAATTGCTGATTGGTCAAGCAACCCCCAACAAAATCTGGAAATTCTGGTTGAGGAAGGCTGCTGTCCTCATAAACCCAATTGGTAGAATAGGTGTGCCCTGCCACCATGTGGACAAAACAAAACACTACAACCACTTCAGCCATATACAGCATTGTATCTACTGTATTTACTTCTATGGCTATGCTAAAGGATTGAATTGCTCTGTTCGCGAGTTACTGAACTAGTATTATGTGTCAGTCTTCACAGGCCCGTGGGGTACTTCTGTTTGTTAAATTACACAGAATTGATATGATTAAGCTTTGAAATTATTCAATAACATAAGGGATTTGTTAATACTGAGTTATTACCAGCACTAAATACACACAGGTTAAAGGAAATAAATTGATGCACGGGGGATGGGGGAGTGCTTTTTTTCAACACTGCTTGCTTTAAAACATTATCTAGTTAAAGGGAATCTATGGTCACAGCACACATTTCATTTTATAGCATCAGCATTGTAATAACAATACAAACAATAGTTTTATTGACAATCAAAAATAAGAGTACTTGGCAAAACTCCTTTCATGTTGTGAGCTCTGCCTGTCCTCTGGCCATCTCTTTACACAACGTTCTTGATTCCCTGCATGCTTTGCAGCTTCTTCTCTGCTGTTAATTTTCAGTTTCTAAGGACTACATGTCCCATGGTACCTTGCTGCCTGCAAGCAGTGATTTCAGTACTGGCTCCGCCTACTGAAACTCCTCCTCTCAAAACCTTTGTAGTTCAGAAGACAGGCACTGTGATATCTGTGACACTTCAGTTTCTACTCACAGGGCATAGTAAATACATGTCACAGTTTTCACGGAAGTAAATGTGTGGGGATCTTCACAAAGTAAGTTTGCAAACTTTAGGAGTGTTCAGATTAATAGGAGTAGACTAGAAATTGAAATACAATGTTGAAATGAATATATAATTTTACATTTTAACCATAGATACTTGTTAAAGGATAAGTTCACCTTTTAAAAAAAAATATTAAATGCCTAACTTTTTGGAGGTAAAAAAATGTGCATTCATTATTTTTTTTATTAGGAGCCTGTAAAGCATTGCACCCCCGATCAGCAGATCGTGGGTGCGATGCAGGGCTCCTGCAGACTGTGAGTGTGGCTGTCTGCTTGTACCTCGTATGGGCAGACAGTTACTGAATGACAGGAAGAATCAATGAACTTCCTAGAGCACTCATCAGCACCCTGGTAGTTCATTGAGCCACCAGCCACATTGAGCCACCAGCCACATTTTTGTAAAAATTGTGACAGCAGGTGTGTCGAGAAGATCCCCGGCCTGCTGTCACAACAGGGGCTCGGGGGTTGCAGGGGCTGCTGCATCAGTAACATGTTACATCCTGAATATGAGTGTAAAATGTAACATTATAGAAGGTGAACTTTAAAAAATGATTATCTATACTGTGTATTGTCATGGGAATGTAAGGCTCAGCAATGGTCAGTTATTACCAATTGTCAGGGGATTAGCTGCTGCAGCAGGAGGATAGGCAGGCACTCGGGTGCTTAGAGTGGCACACAAAAGGCTTAAAGCGGATTTCCACCTGAAAAAAAAAATCAAAGTCAGCAGCTACAAAAACTGTAACTGCTGACTTTTAAAATACAGACACTTACCTTTCCCTCGGTCCAGCGGTGTCCTCACCACGGCTGGTTTCACTGGCCGTCTTCTCTTGCGGCTTCACAGCCGGGTGCCCACTGCGCATTTGACATATTTTCTACAGCCAGTACAGCCAGTAAACTCCCCAGCATGTTATCCTATGTGTCCATGCACACATAGACTATAATCAAAGTTTTTTGGCTGGGAAAAAAACCCAGGACTAGTGGGTTTCTAGAGGAGTTTTTTAGCTGTAAAAATGCTCTAACGCAGAAAAATGCACACGGTAAATCGCGGCAAACCAGCATTTTTGGACTTTTTTGACAAAAAAATGTTTTTTTTTTTGTAAACTCTTAAAAAAAGCAAATGCGAAAAAACGTGGCTAAACGCTAATACAAAAACACTGAAAAACTCAAATTTTGAATGTGACTTTACACAGCTAACATTAACAGCTATGTTATTAAAACGCCCCGTGTGCATGGAGCCTAAGAATTATGCAACATGAATGTTGAAATGACACTAAAATCTAAATGAAGGGCATTCTGTATCTGCTTGTTGTTCCATCTATGGTCTGAAGTTACATCTTCTGAGCCACCAAGCACGAGAAATGTCCTAAATTGGTTTAATGTATTTGGTGACTGTGTGGAAATAACTTCAATTCTTATTAAGAGCAGGATATATTAGCAGATAAATGAATACTAGTTGTTCTGACTATTATATTTATAATGCATTTGTTACCATTAATGTGTTTCCTAATATAAATCTCCATTCAAGCTGCATTTGCTGTAAAGTTTTATATACATTCCTTTGCCTAGCTTTACTGCTTCTTTCCAAAACCTGTTAATGATATGTACTGTATATATTGTCTCTGTCTGCAGCCTGTAGTGTCCCATAAGACTGAAGAGTCACCTTCTTTGTATAACAAAGTAAGACAAAATGTATCACAGAATCAGAAAATCAGAAGCTGGCCTGTTGCAGATCAACATCAATATAGTCGCAACTCACTATCACCTGTTATTCTCCCCAGGTAAATCTGATTAAATTATATTTATAGCCAAAAACTTTTGGTTTTAGATAGAGTAGGAGATAGTTAAACCCCCACAGGTTATTTTTGCTGTAGTACTTGAAATATTGTGCAAATTTTCTTTCACTTCCTGTCCCAGAACAAAAACAGGATATCACTGTAAATCTCCCCAAGTAAGGGGCATTCCTTCTTAGACAAATGTCACTGAAACATTTTTTTCAACAATTTTTTGAGTTTCCCTTCACAAGGCAAGGTGGCAGTGATCACTAGTAAAAACCCCTGCACATATACAAGGGGCATGTATTTGTGTGGCTGCAGAGCAGGGAATGCCTTGGCCGCTTACAATCGATGGTGTGCAGTAACATCTTCCAGGCAGGAAAGCTCAGGTGGGGTCCGACTAGGATCTGAACACTCCTGAGCTCATCCCTGGTCACCAGTGCATACAGTGGTGAATCTCCCCAGTGAGCACACAGACAGCAATAAAAACTTGTCAAAGGGTCTAAATAAGGTTGCTGGTTAGTCTATTTTCTTTGTTTTTTTATTTTTTTTGTTTTATAGAAGACACAGTATCTCTGCTATGACGTACATGGACAGTAGGGCACCTCAGAATATGTCTAACCCAGCTAATGCTGTACAGCAGATTTCTTCCTCCTTCAGAAATCCAGGTATGCCACCAGCAGAATTTAGATGTAATATATACAGGTTCAGAAAGACATATCAAAATAAAAATCATAGACCCCTCCTTAGGGCATTAAATATGAGACTATTTCCAAGTATGTGCTGCAAACAGGCGTATTCAGATAAAGAGGATGATTGACCTCACCTTCTCAAATCTTAATTACTTATTTGACTACGATGAAATAAAATCTGTTTGATAGCTATGGGTTGATGTATTTCTTACTTCTTAGTTCAACTTCATATTAAAATGAAAGTGTCACCTGCATTAAGTATACAAACTAACAATATACACCTGAAGGTGCTTCAACTCCCTTTTAAATCCTCCAAATAGTTTTGGTGCACCTGGAATATCTTTGATTCCAGGACTATGTAGCCCTTGACTTCTTCAACTCAATACTAAGACTCTCTCCTACCAAAGCTAAAACCTTTACTAACCAACAATTCAATCTGAGAAATTCACTGGCCAATAGAATATGGGGCACTGGATAGCTGAAAGGTAAGAGGTCAGTCTTAGCCCTTTCAATGTCAGAGTTTAGCATCAAGTTGAAGAGGTCAAGGCATTGAGTATGTGAATAGTGCATGTGGGATCAGGGGCACCACTTGGAGCATTTAAAGGTGCTTGAAAAATTGTCAACCATATAGATTGACTATAAATAAGCTCAAAATGGATTAAAAAGTATAATACCATACAGCAACTATACCATAAAATGTGTTATTTGTTGTCTGTAGGGATATCTGTAAGTTATGTAAGACTGATTTTTCCAACAAGAATAAATGCCAATGGTGTATTTCTTTACTGTTGAAATGCCTAGTAAATTTAAAGTGGCACTTAACAATATCTTTATTTTTCCCAAATACAGTAATCCATACACATCCACTACTTAATGTCTCTATAATCTATTTTTTTCATTAAATTGTTTCTTACTGTGTTTTTCTGTCTCTTTGTACTATCCTTTGTGAACTCCTGATTCTCCCACTTCTATCCCTAGCCCATTTTGGGTGTGAGAGAGTGGTTACATTCTTACATACAGTGGGACCATGGAGAATGAACATAGCCACCTTCTAACAGGGAGTCAGATCACAGTACCAAAAAAAAAAAAAACAATTGGAGATTTGGAGGAGGCTGAGAGCAATAGAAGGGTCTTTTTGAGTTACGAATACATATTTGAATAGTTTTTTTTTGTAGTAAAATGTAATTGTACAGCAATGCAGATATTATGTACAGCAACTAAACATTTGATATGTCCCCCAAATCCAACCTTTCCATTACTGTAATGACGGACTAGAAGTACCTTAGAGGGTGATTTCATCCAAAGCTTTTGTGTGGAGGCTGGCGAACTGAATCACATGCTGGAATCTAACATCTGTCATGGATAGCAGTGGAGAGATGATCCCATCACAATCCCCAATTCTGCTTCATGCTGAGGTTTCATACTCCCCAAAGGATTTTTCATGATAAACAATTTATTGTGGAGTTTACCCAGGAGAGAATTCGATCTGTGTTATACCTTTGTAGAAAAGGGCAGAGAAACAAACTGCTGGTGAAACTTTTCACCACATCTTTGACAAATAAAAAAATATAAATAAATAAATGGAATGCGCTAATTGAGTGAATAATACAAAGTGAATATAAGAAAAAATAAAAAATAAAATAAAAATAATAAAAAATTAAAAATTATGCAAAAAAAAGTGTCCATAAATAATGTCCAAAAAGATATTTAATTAATGTCCACACTGTGTCCCCGTGAGGACGTCGTTGGTGACGAAACGTGTAGCGCGTGGCCTGCTGGATGCTGACGTCTGAGACATTCTTTGGATGTGAGAGGAGGAGATCCAGAGCAAACAAAGATAGGTTCGTGCATGATTGCCTAAACACATGCTTGTAAAACTGGTGTCGGTGGAGACACCTGACTTGTGAGTTTTATTCGTTCATTAAAAAGTTTGTTACAATTTTAAAACTTGCTGCACCATGATTCTTTTTTCTTACCTTTAAACATGGTTCCTATGGTATGGAAATATACGAAAGAGTCATGAGATATATTCCTGAAAATTACCTACACCCTTGAATGGTGGTTTTTCATCTGAGGAAAATTCGTTCGTTGATTCACACAGTAATATTTTTTCATTGGAGGAAAATTCGTTTGGTGATTTACACAGTATTGTATCCAAGATATATTTGTTATATATTGCCCAGAGCAAAAAGGTATTTGTTCATTTTTGAGCTCGGTTGGGTGATTTAAAAACAATTTTTTTTGGTGGTGGTTCTAACAGTGTGGACGTTAATTAAAAATCTTTAATTAAAAATCTTTTTGGACATTATTTATGGACACTTTTTTTGCAAAATTTTTTATTTTTTATTTTTATTTTATTTTTTATTTTTTCTTATATTCACTTTGTATTATTCACTCAATTAGCGCATTCCTTCCTTTTATTTATTTGTTTAAGCAAAAATTTTTTTGATTTTTTGAGTTGGGAATTTGCTGCTTTGGAGTTAGAGGGTGTGGGCGCTTTTCTTAAAACACTTTAAAAAAATATAGATAGTGGGTTTAAAAAGCCTTCAGGTAAAGGTACCATGTACATTAGATGACAACCATTTTGATTTGGCTACATAATGTCTATGGGCTGTGCCCAAACATTGCCAGCTGAGGCTAATAGCTCTAAGACTGGTAAGAAAACCTTGTCCAATTATTGTGATTCTCAAATAAGCCAGTAATGCAGGTATCTGTAGTGTGCTGTTCCATTTGCTTCAGCCTGTATTCCATTTGTGACTCTTTGGGGTTGATTTTATAAAGCTGGAGAGTGTAAAATCTGGTGCAGCTCTGCATAGAAACCAGTCAGCTTCCAGGTTTTTTTCGTCAAAGCTTAATTGAACAAGATGAAGTTAGAAGCTGATTGTCTACCATTCAAACCTGCACCAAAGTTTGCACCCTCCAATCAACCCCTTTGTGTTTAAAACCCCCATCTATCGATGCCTAAAGGTGGTAAGATTGTGTTTGCAAGTTTGGGTACCTATTGTCTAGAGCCAACTTGAATTCAGCCCATTGATACTTAGCAAACACTGAAATAGAAAGTTTAAGGAGAGTTTTCTCAGATTCTCCAAATATATCCTTTATGCCAGCGGTTCTCAACCTGGGGGTCGCGACCCCTTTGGGGGTCGAACGACACTTTCCCAGGGGTCGCCTAAGACCATCGGAAAACACATATTTCCGATGGCCTTAGGAACCGAGACACCGCTCCTTGATCCGTCTGCAGGTGTGGGCGGGATGACATGCCGTCCCTGTCATCTGGACACACCCCCGGGATCAATCCTTCCTCGTCGGTGATTGGCCGCCGGAACTGTAGCTCAAGAGAGGCACACAGGCGGCCAATCACCGGCGAGGAGGTGGAGCTTGGAAAGGAGGAGCCGAGCGGCACTGCGAAGCACGAGCGAGTGAAGAGGAGGAAAGCGGCCGGAGAAGGAAGCCATCTGACCGGTAAGTGTTTGTACCATGGGAGAGGGAGGGAGCGAGCGAGCCCAGGCTGGAGCAGGGGTCAGCAAGGTAAGTATCATTGGTGTCAGTGGGAGGAATAGTGCCCAATCATTGGTGTCACTATTACCAACGATGGGGCACTATTCCTCCCCCCACTGACACCAACGATGGGGCACTATTCCTCCCACTGACACCAATGATGGGGCACTATTCCTCCCACTGACACCAACGATGGGGCACTATTCCTCCCACTGACACCAACGATGGGGCACTATTCCTCCCACTGACACCAACGATGGGGCACTATACTTCCCTCTGATACCAACGATGGGGTACTATTCCTCCCACTGACACCAATGTTGGGGCACTATTGCTCCCCCTGATGCCAACGATGGGGCACTATTCCTCCCACTGACGCCAATGTTGGGGCACTATTGCTCCCCCTGATGCCAACGATGGGGCACTATTCCTCCCACTGACACCAATGATGGGGGCACTATTCCTCCCACTGATACCAATGATGTGGCACTATTCCTCCCACTGACACCAATGATGGGGCACTATTCCTCCCAATGACACCAATGATGGGGCACTATTCCTCCCACTGACACCAATAATGGGGCCGTATTCCCCCCACTGACACCAATGATGGGGCACTATTCCTCCCACTGACACCAGTGATGGGGCACTATTCCTCCCACTGACACCAATGATGGGGCACTTTTCCTCCCACTGACACCAGTGATGGGACACTATTCCTCCCACTGACACCAGTGATGGGGCACTATTCCCCCCACTGACACCAATGATGGGGCACTATTCCCCCCACTGACACCAATGATGGGGCACTATTCCCCCCACTGACACCTATGATGGGGCACTATTCCTCCCATTGACACCAACGATGGGGCACTATTCCTCCCCCCACTGACACCAACGATGGGGCACTATTCCTCCCCCCCACTGACACCAACGATGGGGCACTATTCCTCCCCCCACTGACACCAACGATGGGGCACTATTCCTCCCCCCACTGACACCAACGATGGGGCACTATTCCTCCCCCCACTGACACCAACGATGGGGCACTATTCCTCCCCCCACTGACACCAACGATGGGGCACTATTCCTCCCCCACTGACACCAACGATGGGGCACTATTCCTCCCCCCACTGACACCAACGATGGGGCACTATTCCTCCCCCCACTGACACCAACGATGGGGCACTATTCCTCCCCCCACTGACACCAATGATGGGGCACTATTCCTCCCACTGACACCAACGATGGGGCACTATTCCTCCCACTGACACCAACGATGGGGCACTATTCCTCCCACTGACACCAACGATGGGGCACTATTCCTCCCACTGACACCAACGATGGGGCACTATTCCTCCCACTGACACCAACGATGGGGCACTATACTTCCCTCTGATACCAACGATGGGGCACTATTCCTCCCACTGACGCCAATGATGGGGGCACTATTCCTCCCACTGATACCAATGATGGGGCACTATTCCTCCCACTGACACCAATGATGGGGCACTATTCCTCCCACTGACACCAATAATGGGACCGTATTCCCCCCACTGACACCAATGATGGGGCACTATTCCTCCCACTGACACCAGTGATGGGGCACTATTCCTCCCACTGACACCAGTGATGGGGCACTTTTCCTCCACTGACACCAGTGATGGGACACTATTCCTCCCACTGACACCAGTGATGGGGCACTATTCCTCCCACTGACACCAATGATGGGGCACTATTCCCCCACTGACACCAATGATGGGGCACTATTCCCCCCACTGACACCAATGATGGGGCACTATTCCCCCCCCACTGACACCAATGATGGGGCACTATTCCCCCCACTGACACCAATGATGGGGCACTATTCCCCCCACTGACACCAATGATGGGGCACTATTCCCCCCACTGACACCAATGATGGGGCACTATTCCCCCCACTGACACCAATGATGGGGCACTATTCCCCCCACTGACACCTATGATGGGGCACTATTCCTCCCATTGACACCAACGATGGGGCACTATTCCTCCCCCCACTGACACCAACGATGGGGCACTATTCCTCCCCCCACTGACACCAATGATAGGGCACTATTCCTCCCCCCCACTGACACCAATGATGGGGCACTATTCCTCCCACTGACACCAATGATGGGGCACTATTCCTCCCACTGACACCAATGATGGGGCACTATTCCTCCCACTGACACCAATGATGGGGCACTATTCCTCCCACTGACACCAATGATGGGGCACTATTCCCCCCACTGACACCTATGATGGGGCACTATTCTTACCACTGGCACCAATGATGGGGCACTATTCCTACCACTGACACTAATGATGGGGGCACTATTCCTACCACTGATACCAATGATGGGGCACTATTCCTCCCACTGATATCAATGATGGGACACTATTCCTCCCACTGACACCAATGACGTGGCACTATTCCTCCCACTGATACCAATGACAGGGCACTATTCCTCCCACTGACACCAATGATGAGGCACTATTCCTCCCACTGCAGAATTACAGTTATGAAGTAGCAACGAAAATAATTTTATGGTTGGGGGTCACCACAACATGAGGAACTGTATTAAGGGGTCGCGGCATTAGAAAGGTTGAGAACCACTGCTTTATGCTATCATTTTTCCAGCCCTCTCCTTGTGTTGAAATTAACTGTGTGCACTGTATTACTGATTTATTCTTCTTTTTTACAGCATTAACCAATTCTAGCCCTGCGCCTATGTACATTACTTGGCATCCAGTAAGTAATAACTGAAATAACAACATTCCACCCAACCTATCGGATTGGCTTACATAAAAAACGTTTATATGACTATACAGAATCCACATTCAGCCTTCCCTTTGTTTTTTTCAGTTTCCATTGTTGAATTACACTAGCTTCAGAGAGATGCTACAAGCCATTATTATGATAGACACTTTAATTTACTCAATATTTTCCTGAAAACTTATTTATACAGTTGTATATAATTTTACTATATTTCAGAGATCATAAACAAGTGCAAACATTCAGTAATCTTATGTATCTCTTTTACAGAGCCGGTTGAATACCGATAGTCCTCTTGTGAGGCTTGTAGCCCAGAAGACTGCCCGTTCCAGACGTGGATTTAAATTCCTCAGTCACATTCCCTTTACCTTTGATCTTCTGCGAGTATAGAAGAATAGAGTATGTCTTGTCATATTGTACAGAGGGGGGTAAGTCAAATGTAGGTATAACTGTACCTGTGTCCAGACTATGCACATTAGGTTATTTACATATTCTGAAAATGCAATAAAAACACTTTAAAACAATCCCTACTACACCCATATTCTCCACAATGCTATAGGTATTGTGGAGAAATTCATTTTCTAAATTTCACAACTGAGCATCTAAAATCTGAGCCTGTTTTCTCTTTACTTTCTATGGAGAACAAAAATCATCAGCAGCCTGACAGCCTTCTAATCTAAACAACCAGCAGATATTTCTAACATTTTGTGTTGCTTTGCTTGACAAGACTTGAACACCTCTACAAAGCGTCAGAAACACTCATTAATTGTTCACGTGAGTTAAAGGCTGCTTTAAAATTCAAAGCCTGTGTGAACTTAGCAGAGAACAACTCTAGAATCTTTATTTTGATCGTTTGAGAATGATTTACCTTATAGTACATGCAGCTAGATAGATCAGTGTTGGCTTGTTTTAAAGTCACTTTATTGCCTGTTAAGAATGTGTAAACACTTTACTGTCCATGGTCTTGGCACATGTGTTTTTCAAAGGATTAGTAGCTAAAATAAAGAACAATCCTAGAGACTTGTACATGTGGCTGTCAATGTATGGAGAAGCTAATCAGCTTTAAAAAAATAAAGCCACATTTATCAATGTCCAAATTGGCATAGAAAATTGTCATTCAAACCACTTGTGCATGAAATCACAAACCTTACTTGAAATGCCTGACGTGCTTGATGACTCATTGTCCTCGTCCCAATGAAGAGTTGACCACTGTGAAAATGGTACAGTGCCAGCTGTACTCAGATCCGATGTATGAGCACACCTGGAGTGTCTCAGACAACGCCACTGATGCACCGGAAGTGTGTCACAAGGTCTGGCAGAAAACTGGCGTGGATGATAGGCGATGTGGGCAAAGGAGGATATGCACTGGGATGGACACGGGAACCTGACCAATGAAGCAGGAATGGCTAAACCACCGGGCTGGATGTGATGTTAAAGTCCTGGCACGAAACCTGGCCGAGAATCTGGACTCAAATGCGTTGATGAGATGAATGGCTGGAAATCCAATTAGCACAAGAGGAGGAATAAAAAAAGATAGTACGCTTGGACAACTACATGTTTCGGGCTGTTGTAACATTCTAATCAATGGTGGGAGGTCTATTCCAAACTGTTCACCCAAATGACACTTCACATAAGCTCACTGAAGGGACTAGCCTTAGGTGATACACACTGATACCAGGAACATGACATCACATCTGGCCCAGTGGTTCAGCCACTCCTGCTTCATTGGCCAAGTCCTGTGTCCATCCAAGTGCATATCCTCCATTACCCACATCGCCTTCCATCCACGCCGGCTTCCTGTCAGACCTGTGATGCACTTCTGGTGTGCCGGTGGCATTGTTGGAGACACTCCAAGTGTCCACATACATCGTATCTGAGTACAGCCGGTGCTGTACCATTTTCACAGTGGTCAGCTCTTCAATGGGACCAGGAAAATGAGTCATCTAGGCACATCAGGCATTTCCAATAAGGTTTGTGATTTCATGCACAAGTGGTTTTAATAACAGTCTTCTATGACAATTTGGACATCTGCAAATGTGGTCTTATTTTTTATACCTGATTAACTCCTCTATCCTTGTGGACAGTTTTGTCATATTGTGGATTCCACACTTCTTATACAGTTGCAGATTTGGATTCATGTGGTTCATTTGAAGATGTGAGCTTCCGGATCTGCTATCCACGTCACTTATGGTCACCCTACCTCTCGCCTCTGCGCCAGGATTTCTTTTATACTTTTCTTAAGATAAGCATTGGCCAATCCTGCTGATGATTGCAAACAAGATTTCTCATAGTCTTTTTTCTGACCTCATCAGGCATCTCTTGCAAGTTCATCTCCAAAAGAACATTTACTGAGTTTCATTTTGAGTCCGTAAGCTCCTATTATACAAAGAGATCAAGGGTACTGGGTGGTCACTGCTGAGTGTATAGTGTCAAGCAGTGGCTGGCAGGATTGTAGATGGTATGTGTGTGTTACCTAGGTTTCTCACAAAGACATGGTGAGGGGTTCCAAAGTTTATGGTTGATGTGGGGAGAACAAACTTTTTGTTAAGTTATGTTCTGGGTCCTGGAATCCAGGGGCCTTGTAGAGCTTTGGGTGGGATAAAGCCTACATCTTACCTGTGTCACGGCAGGAGCTGTGGAACGGACAGGCAGGCCTAGTGGCAGGGTCACGCACTGACTGGCGACAACCACCACCCACAGACCGGAGTCCCTCAGGGCGCGGAGTCTAAGTCCCAGGCTGCCCTTCACCAGGGCCCCTGATGGTGGGGATGGACTTGACGCAGCCAGGAACCAGGTCGCGGCCCTCGAGACACCCCAGCTGCGGTAATGGCCGCCGCCAATGGCGTGTAGCTGGTGGGAACCAGATCAGACAATAGCGTAGTCGGGCAGGCCGGGGTCGACAACAACGGGAGAAAAACGGTACAGAACAGTAGACAAGAATAACAGGTCACAGGCCGGGTTCAGCAACGGGAGGTCAGATCAAAGGAAAACGCAGAGAATGGTCTAGTCAAAAGCCGAGTCAGATTCCAGGAGAGTCACGAGAGTATAAACAGAGCTATTGCAACACTAACACACAAGACACGAATGCAGAGAGCATTTGCAGACAGCAGGCTTAAATGTGATGAACCACACCCTTCTGAGGAGGAGCTGCAGAAGCCTGAAGGCATAAAGGTTCCCACCATGCTTTGCAGAAACCCAAGATGGACACCAGCACATGGGATGCACAAGCTCTGAGGAAAGGTAGGACCTTGACAACCTTGTAGCCAAAGCTCACTGTTAGTTTCAGCCGTGCACAGGCCTTTATATTCAGTATCTGAGCTGACTGAATCTCAGGATTCTCTCTTGCTCCCTCTGCTGCAGGATGAAAAGCCAGAGTGCAGACAGAACTCTAAAAAGGTAATGAAGTGCCGACGGTTGTTTTGAAGAACCCATGAGAGAGCTTTCTGTTAGTCAGGAAGTGACCAGATGAGAGGATATTTTGTTTTTTTTTTATGCTAAGGATAAAACCCTTCTTCATTGAAAACTGTTTGCTTCCTTGCTGAATAAAAGTGTAGGAAAAACCTGCTTGGACTATTTCTGGGTGTCCCTGTCTTGTGCAAAGTTTACCATTGCCAATACCATTGAAGCATATCCCCCTTACATTAGAAATACACATTAATGCAATACATAGGTAGGTGTCTATGGCCTGATCTGTAGGAAACATGACCATTTGTATGACCGTCTGTATGTAAGATTGTACACACTGCAACCAGCACTATTTTGTGCAGGTTGCAGTGCACTGGTCCATCGAGTCTTGAAGGCTATGACTGAATATCTCTGTGACCTACATTCGAGTCATGCTAATAATATATTTATAATCTTTTACAGGTAGACATCAAAAGCAAGCTACACAGCATAAAAATGAAATTGTGTATGCAACAATACCCAATGTATCAGACTGTCCATTACACACATCAATCATTCAATCAAATGCTTGGTTTTATTCTTATACATGCCATTGGAAGAATAGAAGGGAGGATGTGGTTTCTGGTGGCAACAATAGAAATACCTTTTTAAGACCCAAACAATGTTCATAGTATAAGAAGATGTAAGAGAGATTTGCTTTCAGCATTTTAATGTAGTCAGACTAATGGGAAAATACTCCAAATGATTGTCTTCTTGAACATTGCTCTTTTCAAAAAATTTGTTTCAAAAGCTTTATGGACATTTCAGTAGCAGTCACTTAGCAAATACCTCTCAATCCCTCTCTGAGCTATATCGGGAGTGTCAAATCTAGAAAACAGATATCACGGCTCTACAGAACGTGCCTGAATATTTTAACTATATATTCATCTACAAAATATGTATTCACTTTTTAAAGAAAGTTTACACTCACCGGCCACATTATTAGGTACACCTTGCTAGTACTGGGGTTGGACCCCATTTGCCTTCAAAACTGCCTTAATTGTTCATGTCATAGATTCATCAAGGTGTTGGAAACATTCCTCAGAGATTTTGGTCCATATTGACATGATAGCATCACGCAGTTGCTGCAGAATTGTCAGCTGCACATCCATGGTGTGAATATCTCGTTCTGCCACATCTCAAAGGTGTTCTATTGGATTGAGATCTGGTGACTGTGGAGACCATTGGAGTACAGTGAATTCACTGTCAT